TAACAGCTTTCATAGGCCCTCAAATCAAAAAATTCAGACAAACGTTTCGCACACACTAACATACAAGCAAACACACACAAACACAAACAAAAGCGCATGCAGTACTCACATGACGGCATGCCATGAATAGTTATAGTATTATGAAATTATTCACGAATGATTGAAATAGCGCGAACAGCTGTGGTACCAAGACTGGCTGTACTGGCGCGAGTTGCTGTGACTTCACAAGTAATTGTGGCGCTGCATATAGTTGTAACACCACGAATTGTTGTGGCGCCACGAACAATTCCGGAACCACGAATAAGTGCCGAGCCACGAACAGTTCTGGTGAGAGGAGTACTATGAACAGATGTGTATCACGAGCATTTGGGGCCTCTTCGAATAATTGTAGTACCATGAATAATCACAGAACAGCAAATATTTCTAGTCCCAGAAATAATTTTGGCATCATGAGCTGTTGTAGTGGCCTGAATTATAGTAGCAACACGAGTAACTGTGGCACTCCGAATAACTTTGATATCACGGGTAGTTGTACTACGAATAGTTTTGATAAAACGGGCAATTGTAATACCACGAACGGATGTGCTACGACCAGCTCTAGCTTTAGTGATATCATGATGGTCGATTTATATCGAGTAGTTGTGGTACCGGAAATACCTACGGCCTCACGGAGAAGTAAATAATTGTGTTAGAAGGAATAACTGTGGTACCATGAATAGTTGTGACAGCACGAACAACTGTGGTACTGCGAGTAGTAGCGGTGCTACAAGTAGTTGTGGTATCATGACTAACTGTGGTACCAGAGACAGCTGTGATGCTGCGAAGACTTCTGCTTCAGCGAATAATTGTTATGCCATGAATAATTGTCCGGGACTCTCATCCTATTGCTGCTTTCCCCGGCCCCCGATTTACAGAATTAGCCTGAATTTACAGAATTAGCATGGATTAAAAGACGTAGATCAAAATAAGCGAAGATGTAAGGATCACCTCTAGGTTCATAGCTTTTGCAAAGCTCACGTATTTTGTTAATAAGTTTTGGCTTGGCTTAAAAGCCATAACGAAACTGAAACTGAGCTTGATCCTTTCTCTTTTTCCTAATATTCCAAATCAACTTTGTAAGAGCTGTGCTAACGAGATCAACTTGCGGCGCTGAGTTGAGACTTTCACATCTTAAAGATTCGAAACGTGTCAACCCCCTTTTCCAGTTCATCGTCCTTTTCGCCCTTTGCTCCCTCTCGTTCTCTTTCTTCTCTTGATTCTCTCATTTAGTGCGCTTCCCAGAAGTCCGTGAAAAAAAAAAAGTTCGAAAGGCGGTATTGACCATCCATCTGCTTACTCTACTAGGACAGGCTTCTGGAACCCAGCGTCTCACTTCCTTTAGTACCACATAAATTTGTTGTTTCATCAAACGCTTCAACGTCTCAACGCGCAATGTGGCATGCATCACCGGACAAAAAGGTAACTGACGCAGATTTTGGCCGAACAGTCCCGGTGGAAGATTCATCCGAGATGTAATTAATATATATATTAGTCACTGCTGGTGGTACAGACAGAAAGCATTAAGCGCTAAAAAAGTTTATGAATCACCGATAGGGAACCATCCTGCCCTTACGCGAAATCAGCTTGCATGCTATACATAAGGAACTCAAAGTGCGTCCTGACACTGCAACATTGTCCTCCGCTCGCACTTTGTCTGTTTCTATTTAACATGCAATTGCCAGATCATCCGACTATTAAAGTTGAACTTTAATGCTTCTGTATATATAAGTCGGCGAAGCGAATTATTTCCATATGTGGCAAAACTCTCTAGAACTTTCGTTTATGGCTTTTTATGTGCAGAAGGCAGAATGTTTTCCGCGCAAGCCGGGAATCGCTTGCTCACCTGTAAGCACGGAGTGATTGGTCCGCTTTTTATGCGTTTTTGCGGTTCAACTCTGGAACACTGTAACAAGTAGCAGAAACGCAAGCTGTGTCGGCCCTGTCTGTGCATGTGTGTGTATGTGCGCTCGTCTGTCTGGTTGTTTTCACTCAGCAACCAATAAACATTTTGGGTTGAAACTTTGCCAGTGTGTTTCCTGGCTATGTGAGCCCCCAGAATTTAATTATGCTTTTTTGTCCTGGCGTGTGTGAATGTTTGTGTTTGGGTGCATGTATGTGTGCGTGCTTCTGTCCGGGTATTTCAATCCGGTAACCAAGCAAGCTGCAGCGCCAAATTTTGCCATTGAGTTCCCAAGCCAAATGCCACGGACCGCGGT